GGGAATTGTAGTCGAATGTGGGGGAATTTAGCCAGTTCCTTAAGTAGTAATGATTATCTTTTTTTTTTTTTTTTTTTTTTTTTTTTTTGAGAAGTAAAACTCAGATACTGCAAAAAACGAAGCAAGCTGGGCTTATTGGGATATAGCCCACAGAACATATGTCTTCCTGAGTCAACCAAAAATATACACTTGGTAAAATATGATTGCCTGCAAATAACCTGGAGATACCCCAGGTCACAACGGATCAGAATCTCTTTCAAGCAGCTTTTGATTTCGTTTTGCTCTAATCCTAGAGGAAGGTTAACATGCCATCTTAAGTTTCTACTCATTACACAACTTTGAATCAAAGTGACTTTTGTGACACTGCAGTAAAATTACATGGCAAGACCATCAGCAATCTGTTATAAAGCTAATACATAAAATCTGTTACAGCCTGTTCTGTTAAAATGCTCTAGAAATGTTGACTCATCACACAAACATAAGAAATATATGGGTGAAAATATTAACCACAAACAAGAAAAGGCACCAGAAACTTTGTTTTCTAATTGTAAGAGATCTTGGGCTCAGCTCCAGATACAAAACCAGACCTTTTGGAAACAGGGGCAGTTGAAGGAACATTTTTTCAAACATTTATATTATTCAAATGGAAATTACATTTGATAGTTTTGTCCAAATTTAATTTTAACCTCATTATCAAAAAGGCTGCCATTATTAAATCAGGTAGCAGTTCATTTAACATACACAGACTTGAATTTAAGGAATATTTCTCCTATTACCCATACCTCTTTTTTAAATTCTGCAATATAGGCACACATTTCCAACATCATTTCAATAAACAGTGGTATATCCTTCCAATAGTACACCCTTTCTCTTCAAATTCCAACCCAAAATTATGATCCTAAAAATGTCACAGCTAAAAGATAAAACAAAGTGTCTTATAGAGGGAGGTTTTGGAGGTCATACTTGACTTTTATAACAAGTTGAAATAGTGCTATAAACACCAGCTTGTAAACTGGTTTTACTTCAATAAAAAAGCTAGAACAATCCATGTTAGGCATTAAAATTAGTTATGGTAGAAAAAAGTGACTTACCTTATCAGAAAAGACACTATCTAGAAAGTTTTCTCACAATAGCAAATAGCTTTGAAAGCTTAATAAAAATGGTGATTCAAATGTCACAGGAAGCAGCATACACTTTTTTTTGGTAGGCTTGTTTTTTTGGAGTACACAGAATTAATCCTCGTCTCATTGCAACGGAAACCCCAAAAAAATCTTCCCACAAATTAATGAGTTAGCCAATTAATAAAATGAAAACAATTGCATCCAAAAAAGTGTGGTATTTCTTTTGGTACACAAAATCAAATATTATTGATACATGTGTAGAAATCTGCAGCTAATTTAATGAGGAGGTTTGTGCCTGAAGAAGAAAGTTCCTGTTTACTTGCTCAAAATATTAAATTAGACACCTTCTATACTACCACATTTAAACATTAAAAAATAAAGGAATAATAGAAAAGAGCCTCAATACTCACATTTGGGTTTAAGCTGCTTCTCTTGGTAACTTGTACAGCAAAATAAAGGAAGAAATAATTACACGCCTTCACAGAAACAAGCATTCATGAAGTCCAAAAGAAACAGAACACTTTGCCAGAGCTATTTGAGGGTCCCATCAGAATTTGGCTGGATGGAGGAAGGCTGAGGGTCAGTTTGTTTCCCTTAGACCTCATGACATGCAAATAGCTGGCTGCCTCACCGATGAATCAAATCATTCCTTGACATACTGTGTTTACAAACTGCAAATACATACCATGTAGGAGGTTCTTAAAGGAACATATTTCAGACTGTTCTCAAAAGGAAAAAGGTATTTCTGCTAAAAAACCTAAAGAATCAAACCCCTCCGAAGTCCCAAACTGTTTAGTACAAGAAAAAAAGGAAATTTAAAAAAAAAAAGAAAAAGAAAAAAAAAGATGGATCATCATTCATTCCCAGTTATACTTTGGTCCACACATAATGAACCCAAGACCTCATGTGGGCTTGTAAATCAGAAAAGAAATAGAAAAGTCATGATGACTAAAGCCTGACTCTTATGTACAGGAAATGGGGGGCAGGGAGAAACACTTTTTCCATTTCAGAAGAGACTTTTGGGGACCTGGCAGAACTCCTCTGACACTACTAAAGCAGTTTCTGGGCTGGAATGATTTGATTCTCTCCCAGCACACAGGAAGGTGTTCACAGGGTGTTACCACCAGAGGGGCAGCACAGCCTCCTCTGGGTTCTAGATTGGGGGTTTAACTAGATGACCTTTAAAGGCCCCTTCCAACCCAAACTAGTCTTTGATTCTCTCTCAGTATTTCTCCACTCTGGGCTTCTTTGAACTGCTGTCATCTCTTTTATTTTTGCTTGGACAGAACAGTGGCCAGACAGTCTACTGCAGGCACGGAGCATACAGAAGTGATTAGACTTTGCGTAAGGCTCCATGCAGACCCTTAATCAATTGCAGCTGAAAGTAAGGATACTGTTCCCATTTAAAAATGCAGTCTGAAGTTATGCAGAGTGAAAAAAAGGATGGCTGCTTGTGGTATGAACCACAGCTGACCTCCAGGCAGATTTTTCCACAAACAAGAGCCAGTAGATCTGAATCATTTAGTCTATAATGTCAAAAGGGTGGGAACTGCTTTATATTGCAGACAGAAGAGGGAAGAAAACTTTAAAATGGTTTAAAGATTTGTTACGTTATCTGAAGACTTTGGTAAAATTGCCAAATGTGGACAACATGTCCTGGAGGTTATCTGGGTCTAGGTAGTACCTTGCAAGGTACTATATCAGATTAATCATTTCGTTATTATTGCCAAGAATTCATGACTTCTATTAGTAGCTGACTGGTTTATTAAACCTCTGTAGACATTGTCATCTACTCAAACTAGATTGAATCCTCCCTCCTATTGTTACACACTATAATTATTCCAAACACTTCTATGCTGATTTTTCAAGCTGATTTTTTTCAGATTGAGGAGAGGACATGTTAGTTCTGAATTTCAGTCCAGAATGAGAATCATTAATAGCTTCCTCTTGTCTTTAATTCCGAAAGGAATAAAAAACCAAATGGTGTTTCTCTTCAAACTTCTTAAGTCGCTCTTTCTACTTAATTTTTTCTTGCAATTTTTTTATAAAAAGGCATTCCTTAACAAAATTAATTAATTAACTTGTTGTTTTCCTGAGAAAACATCTTTGGCATTTACTGAATATGTTTTGTTATTTGGTTCTGCAGAGAAAGGAATTCTGCTCTCACAAGTATCCTGTTTATCCAAAAAGCTTCAGATAATTGCTGTTTTCTATGTTTAAAGTACAATCATCGCTCAAAGTTTGAGAAACGCATATTTGGAGGCTCAAAAAGCACTCAAGGGAAAAATCACCACATGCCTTTTTCTTATATTCTCCCCTAGGCATCCACTTCTGGCCCTCGCTGGAGACACAACACTGGGCTACGCAGACCTTCCATCTGACCCAGTACAGTCACTCTTGTGGCTTCTGCAAGAGTACTAAACTTCCTATTAAAAAAAAAAAACCAAACAAAAAACCAACAAACCAACCCAAAATCTACCCAGTTTTGTAGAAATTTCCATTTTCCTGGCCTCAGGAAAATGTGATTGTTACTTACTAAAAAAAATATTGAGGCAGCCACCAGTGCATCAGTAGCCTGCTCATGAGAACAGGAGTACTATGGTTTTATCTGAGGAAGCTCTAAGATGGATTCTCACAAACAACAAATCCCAGAGCTATTACTTAGAAACTCAGAAACTTGTGCCAATTGTTAGATTTTTAAGAAGCTGCCAAACAAAGAGAGTTGGAAAGAAGGCTGACAGTTCTAACAGAGCAACAGTTTGCTTATTTCCAGCAGACCCGTGCAGAACCAGCTACAAACGTCACATTTTGCCACTTAAAAACAGGGACAGGAAAGGCTGTGACTGAGCCCAAGCACCTGTGGCTAATGCACCCATTCCAATTTGCTGAGAGCAGCAGCAAAAGAGGTCTATAAATATTTGTGTATATATACATAAGCTTTATAAGTCTATAAAAATATAACGGTGGTGTTTAAATGCTGTAGGTGAAGGGCATGAGAGGCTGACACTAAATGCTCAAAACCTAAGTAAAAGGGTTAAGTTGCATACTCTGTATTGCCTTTCATTCTCCTAGATGCTCCAAAGGGCAGTTTTGCTTTGCAAACTGAACCTCTGCTTTCTAAGACAGGCTTACTCCTCCTCCTGCATACATTCCTCCTAGGGAGAGGAAAAAAAGCCACGAATTAGCAAAATATTCAGGAAATTGTGAATATTCCTTTTCTTTCTCTTCCAAAATACTTCTATTTAATGAACTAAAGACTGATTTTACACAACAAAAATATCTGAGAAGTTTTCCAACCTATGTTTCCTTGAATTCTGTTAGTAGCCAGAAGGTATCTCTGAATTTTACTGCTTCCCTCATATCTACTTTGAAGAATATATTTTTTCTTATCATTCTTATACCATTGGCTACAATACAGCAAGTCTAACACATGATATAGTAAATTTTATAACAAGTTCATGATTATTCCAGCATAAACCAGTATCAAACAAAAATACAGGGACACTCCGAATGGCATGTTAAATCGAACGGTGCGTATTACCAATTGCTGTTTGAAAGCTCCAAGTTGCACGATGATCAGCCATCAGTTAAGTCAACAGAATGCATTTTAAATACTTCATCATTTAATGTTATTAAAATAATTTCAAATTTGCATACAGAATGTCATATGGCGTATTATTTACAAAATAGCTCACTGTCATACAAAATTGTTTACATTCAGTATAGGAATTTAATAATTTTTCTGGCTAGATAACAAGAAATCAAACTTATTCCCTGTATGCAAACTCCATTCCTTAAACAAAGTTAAACAGCCTGAATATTTTTCATCTCTTACTCCTCATTGTTCTTTACTGTCGGATGTTAGTCTCCAGCCAAGGGAAGAGAAACAACTACCTTTGCTTCTGCCTTACCACTGGGAAATTGTTTTGCCTTACAGTTGGTAAAAGATCAGCATTGATATGAACATTGTTAAACATTACTGCCTTTTATATATGTATAAAATTCCATTTTTCCCTTACCAAAATTGACTTAATCTTTATTAATCTGTTTCTGAGCTTCCGTACTTGGCCTCTTCAGCTTTAATTTGTTGCAATTTCGGGTTTGGATATATTTATTATTAAGCTTATAGAATAGGTGAACTGTTGGAAAACAGAAATATTTGAACAGATTAGGGCTTGCTGTCTTTCAGCATCCAAGAATTTTGGAAAGAATGGGCAAATGACATTTTTAGTGAATAGAACTCTATTTCTTCTCTTACTAATCAAACTTTGTTTTATGCAAAAACCTGAAATTACACACATGAAATTAATGGGCATTACTGAAGTAATGCATCTAAAATATCTTTGGTTTGGAAATTAACTTATCTCTTAAAAATAAGTTAGAAGTATATTTGACATTCAAGAATTATGTCATTAACAGTGGCAGAACTCTATTTTACACCTTTCCTGAAGACATAAAGTACCGCTCACTTAAAAATAAGGCTGGTAAAAAACTTGAGGGAAACACTGTAGCCAGTATTTCACTCTACAAAGTTTATGTAGAAAGATCATAAACTAAATTCTTTTTAAGAAACTCAGAGGATAAGCAGAATGCCACAAGTTCTCTCAAGGAGCTGAGAGAATGCAAGACTAAGAACTCGAAGTGTCTGCTGAATGAACATACAGTGTGTAAAACACGGCAGGAGAAACACTCCCAAAACACCAGTGCAAAAAGGGTATCACCTCCTCTGTCCCAGCTTCAAGTTTTAAATGACCTGCTATTGTGGACACGAACAGAACACATTAATAGTATGAGTGTGCTGATTTTCATAAGCTTTCAGTACATTTAGAAACTCACATTAGTACTGGGGCACTTCTAAGTTTAGCAATACACGCCTGTACTCAGTGTTTTTACTGCTGTGATCCAGTGAACAGAAGCTGAGAATATCCATTAATGATATCAAAAGTAAAAATGATCTTTCATTGGTATACTATTAGGTATCAGTATGTTTCAAACCTACCCTTTGAAATTAAGGTATACAGGCTTATATACAGTTATATGCAATCCTATAAATCCAAATCAGAGAAGTAAAACGATAAGTCTGTGTGTGTATGGAACAGGACACAGTTATTTGAAGAATAACCATTTCTTGAGGCCTCATATGAAGATGCCAATTAAAAAGCAAAAATTTCATACCTGAAGTGTCCACCACTGTGCTCTGTCACATCTACATTTAATGTGCATTACACGTACACTGTAGGCATACACAACAAAACTCCATTTGCCACAACCACCCAACAACCGTGTCCCCTGGCTGTGATTTCCAATTGTTAGAAGCTGAATTTTAAAGTTTGTCAAGCATTTTCTGCTATCCTTCCCTTCAGCATAAAAAAGTAACAAACTCTAACTGTCTCATGGATGTGGATGCACTGAACAGTAATTTTATTCCTCTGTTACAGAAGATTTTCTAGGTCTGAGAACAAGATCTTTGATAGAGGTAGTGATTTCCTGGAGCTCTTTTCGAATGGAATCCGCTCCTTCCTCCTCTTCCAGGTTCTCTCTCGTGTCACCGTCTCCCTGATCAGTTTTCTTAGTCTGATTGATCAATTGTTTCACTACTAATCCCTGGTATTTGACTAACAGAGAATGCTGATCCTGAGGGTAAAAAAAAAAAAGAAAACAACCCAAAAGAATGTCAGTATCATGGAGAAGGTACACAGATACTTAATTAAAGATTGTATTTTTAAAAAAGCTTTCTCCCATTCTTGCCTTAAGAGGGTTAGTGATATATAAATATATTTCCATCAAGGCATTTTGCAACCTAAATTCTGAGAGACATTCAAAGAGGAAGAAAACTGAAAGTGTATCCATACTGCAAGAAGAGGACTATTAACCACTGAAGCAGGAAAGCAATGCACTGAGTAACCACCACCAGTTTGGCAGATTAGAATACAGACTTTGAATGTTTTTGTTTTTTGATGACGTACGTCTTTCTTTAAAACTGAATTAGAAAAGTTTAAACAGCAACTGTGCTCTAGCTGGGAGGAAAGAGAGTGTAAAAAAATTTCAGTTAGAAGAATTATAACATCTCCCAATACATGGCTGTCTCTATGCAAAAGCTACAGTACTAGTAACTGATTGATTTTTATTTTTAATAAAAGGATATTGCAGACAGATTCCTGAAATAATAGGCTTGAAACACAATACAGATCAGAGAAATTGTATATTGTATACATAATGATTAGACATGACACACAAAGGTGCCAGTCTTACGCAGCAGAAATAGTATAAGGCATAACTTTTATGTTCTGTCACAGAAAGAAGGTACTTTCCCCTTAAAAAGCTAGAAAGGAATACCTCTGGGATCTTGCCACTCAGGAAATTAATGATCTGTGGAACTGATCTTCCTGGTGCATGAAGCATACAGTGGGTTGTAAACTGAAATAACAGTACTGATGTCAGGTGCAAAACAA